TTGGTAGCCATGGGAGTAACCAAACGTGTAGCTAGAGATCAGGCTGGATTTGTAGATTATCGTCGGATACCAGTTGGTAGGTATTATGTAATAATGGGAAATAGAGCTAAAAAAGAAGTCTTAGGAGTTGGTACATTTCAGCTCAAGTTGCGCACTCGGCGCAACTTGTTCCTTCATGATGTGCTTTATGCACCCACTATCTGATGTAATCTGCTTTCAATTTCAGCACTTTTGAAGTTAGGCTTTTCTTTTCATTTTGAGGACATTAGTTTGTCAATTTACCTTGGTAGAATATTTTATGGTCACAGTAGTTTGAGGGATGATTTCTTTATGTTGGATTTAGAATCAGAATTGAATAATAAATCCATTATTTGTGCTGCATCTTCTTCTTCTTCTCATAATGTATTTGATTTCATTAAATGGCATACAAGACTAGGCCATATAGGACAAGAAAGAATAGCTAGATTGGCTAGAGGAGGGCTATTGGGCTCTCTTGCCAAAGTTAGCCTACCTATATGTGAGCCTTGTTTAGCTGGAAAGGTTTGTAGAAAGGCTTTTGGTAAGGCTTCTAGAGCTACTCATCCGTTAGAGTTAGGGATGGCAATTTGAAACCGACCCAACCCCCCGATCCCGATTGAAACGGTTTTTTCCAAAAAATACCCTCAATGGGCCGGGGATGGTATTAAAAAATGAATCCCCAATCATTTTGGGCTGAGAACGGTGATACCTTCCCCAGCCCCGGACCCGGACTCGCCCCGTCTCCATTTATCCCCAATATGACATTACCATTATACCCATATATATATATATATATATGTTTTCTTTCTTTCTTTTCTCATTTTAGGGTTAGGGGTTCAGAGAGACACTAAGACACTCTCACTTCTCTCTTCTCTCTTCCACTCTCTCTCTTCTCTTCGCCATCAGCGTTGTCTTCCCCTTTGCGACAGTACACTGCTGCATTGCCTTCTCCTCATCGTCATCGCCTCCTTCTCATCCGTCGTCTCTTCTAGGATTAGTTTTTTCTTTTGTTCTTTAGATCTGGAAAATGATGAAGATGAAGATGTTGTTGTTTGTGAAGATCTATTGTTGTTTTGAAATTGGTTTTTGTATTTGAGATTACTTTTTGCGTGATGTATTTTGTATTAGATTTTTCAGCTTTGCCAAACTGTCGTAGGGCACCCTGAAATTTTGTTCCTTAAAGTCAATTTTGACGAGAATAAGCTGATGTGCAAAAACTTGAATGTAAAGGTACTTCCTCATTTCCACTTCTATCGTGGAGCGGATGGACAGTTGGATTCCTTTTCTTATTCACTTGCTAAGGTGTTGCTGTTGTTTGAAGAAAATACAAGAATTTCTTGTATTTTCTGTTGCTGAAATTTTTTTTTTGATCGGAGAAATTTTGGGGTCGAGGAAACTTGATCCATGTTAGGGGGTGAGGGCGGTGATAGGTTCCCTATCGAGAATCGGGGACGGGGAGTGTGATCCTCGGCCCTGCCCTGGCCCATTGCCGTTCCTAGAAATAACCTGCTTGGATAAGTTTTGGGGCAAAGCCTAAATAAGGACATGAAATGTCAATCTTTTTGAGGTGCAATGTGTCCTTACATCAAAATTGGTCGTGGGTTCACTCATATAAATTGATGAATTGCGCAATTCAAAAAAAAAAGATAAAATTCAAAAAAAAAAAAAAAGAAGAAAGAAAAAGAAAATGAAAAAGAAAATAGAAGTGGGGCAGTGGATCTTGTGAATAGAAAAGTAAAAGTTTAGAATCGATAGAGGTGTATTATATTTTATATATATATATATATATATAAATTTTGAATAGGAGTTATATTATATCTTGAGTTATCATAATCTATTTTATGTAAATCATACTTTGTAAATTATATTAACATTTCAAATATGTTATTTGTTTAAAAAGGGAAACTCACGGATATAACTATTTAATTAATATATTTTGGTAAAAAATTGATAATGTGAGCAATTAATTTGTAAGTAACACTACGAAGGTCCCATACCTTTTAGGAGACTTAAATAACCATTGGCCCTCTGATTAGTCACTTTAGTGACCATCTGTTTGTCATGGATCTATTGACCATTTTTTCTGTTTTGTACCATGGTCGTGATTATCTTACTCATACGAATTCGAATTATACTTCTGTTATTTGAAATAATTTATTTGTTTGAATTGAATTATCACTATTTAGCCTAAAAAATTATCCGTGGTGATTTTGTACCATTATGCTCTCAGTGTAATATTCCTAACTCTATCATGTGCTTATAGCTGTTATATACTTTCAGGTGATAAGGTTTATGAAGGGATTTCTAACCCCATGCTCATAAGTTTTGGGGATAGCAAGACTAGGACTTGGAATAAACACAATGCACTTTGCAAATACAGTCTAGCTCCACGTATTTTGTAAACGAGATGGCTTTAATAATATAATAAGTAAAATGTTCTGATGTATGTTCTAAATAATATAAATATTTAGGTACCGTTTTGTTTTACTCCGCTACACTATTAATCTATTAAATTTAGAATTGACCATTGGTAACCTCAGTTATTGACTAGTTGTAACACCTAACCTCTGGGTACCTAGGTTTAGGATTGCAAACGAACCGAGCCGAGCCGAGCTTTGCTGAGCTCGAGCTCGGCTCGTTTACTTATCGAGCTCGTTTATTGAGCTCGAGCTCGGCTCGATAAGGAGTTGGGCTCGAGCTCGGCTCGGCTCTTTAATTTTAATGAAACTCGAGCTCGGCTCGGCTTGGCTCGATAATTTTTTTTAATATTATTTATATTATTTAAATATAAATATTTAAATAAAAAATATTATTTATATATATGTTTATATATTATTTAATATATAAATAATATATTTATTATATAATTTAAATAAAGATAAACGAGCCGAGCCGAGCTGAGCCCTTAATGAGCTGAGCCGAGCGTTTAACGAACCAAGCCGAGCTTGTTCATGAACAGTTCAGTTCATTTGCAACCCTAACTATCATGTGGGTTGGTCTTTATTTTCAATTTCTATTGACTTTTGCTGATAAAGAGATAAGGTAATAGTACTAGTGTAATATCAAGAGCCAATAACAAAGTGACAGCTATGTGTAAGTCACCTATCCTATTGTTTATTAAATTATATAATAACTCGATCGGTTCGGCTTAAGTGATTATTTTTTTCTTAAGCCTGTTGACCGACCAGAACTTTATGATTTAAAAATATTTGTAATCGCTGCTGACCGTATACTTTGATGGAACCGACCGCCGAATGTCAGTTCAATTCGAATCAGACGAGTTAATCGGGCCAATCGGTTTTTAGTTTATATATATATATATATATATACATAGAGAGAGAGAGAGAAAGAGAGAGAGAGAGAGAGAGAGAGAGAGAGAGAGAAAATTCTTGATAAATTCGTATTGCCACTCGTATAATTCATTGAGGATATGGTTGATTCTATTGGGGACATAAGAACACGTAAAGTCCATATCTGCAGGGTTTAGCAAATTTACTTACTGTATATATCTATTTGTCTAAATTATTTAAACTTATCTGTTCAAATTATGTCATAATATTATAATCTATCTGTTCATATTATTTTAAATAATCTGTCCCAAGAAAATGCCTTGTATATAACTATCAGTCCAAATTATTTGAACTTTTCTATTCAATTTATATCTATTTGTCCAAATTATTTAAACTTATCTGTTCAAATTATATCTCAATATTATAATCTATCTGTTCATATTATTTTAAATTATTTGTCCCAAGTAAATGCCTTGTATATACCTATCTGTTCAAATTATTTGAACTTATCTGTTCAAATTATGTCCCAATATTTTTAATTTATCTATTCAAATTATTTTAAACTAATGCACTATGTATACTTATCTGTCCAAATTATTTGAATTTAGATTATTAACATATTTTTCTAAATTATTTTAATCTATATGTCCCAAAATTTTTAACCTATCTGTCCAAACTGTCTAAATTATTTTAATCTATGTGTTCAAATTATTTTAAGGGTACCTATCATAGTATTTATGCTTATCTATCTAAATTGAATCTATTTGTGCTAATATTTTTGCTTATCTGTTTTGATATGTTTTGCTTATCTGTCCAAATCGAATATATCTGTGCTAATATTTTTGCTTATTTGTCATAGTATTTTTTACTTATCTATCCAAATTGAATCTATTTGTCTTAGTGTTTTTTTTATCATCTGTTCAAATGGAATCTATATTAATTTTGAATAATGAGGGTAATAACTTTTCTTTTTTATATGCAACTATCCTTATGGATCCAAACAAAATGCACCCAGATGTGTGGCCTTTACGCTATGTTTGATAGGTAGATTTGGGAAGAGATTTGAAAAAAATAAAAAAGAAGAAGAGAAAAGGTATGTGAAATTAAGTGAAATATAAATATATTTTATTCATATTTCATCTACATTTTCCCTTTCCCTTTTCAAATCCCTTCCCAAATCTCCCAACCAAACACAGCATTAAAGTTTATAAAAGGGATTTATGGGCTATAAAGTGGTTCAAATTTTGGGACAAATATATTGATTTTTTGGTTAGTCACAGTGAATTAGCATTCATTTTTTTTTTCTTCTAGAAAAATAAGTGCTTGAAACTAGTTTCGGTAATTTTGGATGGATGATCTCAAAAAATGTTGAAGGGAAAAGTAAAGGGGGAACTATGGATGCATATGTCACAAAAAGGAGGGCAAAGTAACAAACTTTAAATGAAATGGTAAAGCAAAAGGAACCCGTGATTAGAGATATTTGTAGAGTCATTTATGGGCATGCATTGGCTTTTAATTTATTGAAAAGACTCTTATTTAAAAAGATGTTGAAGTCATTTGGTGAGTATGGTGTGGGATTGAAACCACCTAGTTATCATGAAGTGAGAGTATCTTTTTTGAAAAGAGGTTGATCATGTGAATGCAAGTTTAGAAGTGTATAGGAAGGAATGAAAGAAGACGAGTTGCACTATAATGTCCGATGGATGGACCGATGGAAAGTCTCGCTCTCTTACTAATTTTCTTGTTAATAGTCCAAGTGGAATGGTGTTTATTAAATCAATAGACACCTCCTATGCAATTAAAAATTCTATAAAATTATTTGAGATGCTTGATGACATTGTGAATGAAATTGGGGAAGAAAATGTGGTTCAAGTGGTAACTGATAGTGCATCGGCCTATGTGCGTGTTGGTAGATTATTGGAAGAGAAGAGGACTAAATTGTTTTGGTCCCCATGTGCAGTACATTGCATTGACTTAATGTTAAATGACATAAGTGAGTTGACAGTTTTCAAAGATACAAAGCCAAGGAAATCGCTGTGTACATTTATAGTCATGCTTGGGTGCTTGATTTGTTTAGAAAATTTACAAAGAATAGGGAGTTGACAAGACCTACAGTTATTAGATTTGTCACCGCCTTCCTTACTTTAAAAAGTTTCCAAGATAGAAAGCTCCAACTTAGAGTTATGTTTGCATTGGAAGAGTGGGCTACAAGTACCTATTCTACATCTGTTAATACAAAAAAGGCACAAGGAACAATCTTGGGAGATGCTAGATTTTGGAAAGCAATCAAGTATTGCTTGAAGTGTGTGCTCCCTTTGGTGAAACTTTTGAGGCTTAGGCTTATGGATGGTGATGCAAAGCCGGTATGAGATTTATTTATGAAGCTATGGATAGAGCGAATGAAGAAATTTCTTCAAACTTGGTCCATATGAGGGGTAGATATAAGCGCATTTGGGAAATTATTGATATTAGATGGGAGTTACAACTCCATAGGCCTTTTCATGTGGCGGCACATTAATTCCACGTAAGTTTTTTACTCTTTTTGTCTAATTATTTGTGTGACTTATATACAAAATGTGTAATAGAATTTATTTATGAAGTTATCTTTCTTTCTAGGTTTCATTATCAAGAAAACTTCACTGCGAATACGGAGGTGGAAATTGGTTTATTTAAAACCATTGAGAGGATGTATCCGGATATACAGGATAGAGTGAAGGTTGATGAGTAACTAGAAAAGTTCAAGAAGATCGAGGGTATGTTTGGTATGGGCATGGCCATCTTGACAAGGGAAAAGAAACAACATAGTAAATTTTTTGATTATGAAATTGCATATTCACAATTTCACAACAATTATGTTGGCATGCATTATTCTCTAACATCTCTTTATCATTTTATTATAGCTCTATGGTAGGAAAGTTATGGACAAGAGTGCAAAGAGCTTTAAAAGCTAGCTATTAGAGTGCTAAACGTTGCTTGTAATGCCATCGAGTGTGAGAGAAATTGGAGTACTTTTTATCATGTGCACTCCAAGAAAAGAAACCGGTTAGAGGAACAGTGGTTGAATGCTTTGGTTTTTGTGAAGTATAGCATTCAACTTGAGTTGAGGCAAATTAAGAGACAAGAAAGGGATGACACGTATGATCCTATTTATTTGTCGGATATGGAACCCGATGATGAATGGATTACCGAGAAAGAGGATCCATGTCTACCTGAAGATCATTCATGGATTGACATCCAAGAGTGCTTCGAAGATGATGAATAAGCAACAAGTAGCAAAAAGAGAAAAATAGGTATAACTCTATATTTGAAATAAGTTAATTTCAAAGATTTAGTTTCTATATTTTGACATTTACTTGCTCATTCATAACCTTATTTATTTTTATTAATGTAAGACCAACAAAATTTAAATGCCGATAGAGGAAAAAGAAAAGTATTTGAAGATGATAATGAAATCGAATTGATTGAAGATGGAGAAAAGGAAGAGGAAGAAGAGTTTGATGAAGTGACTATGGTAGATGATGACGAAGAGGATGACTCTGATATTGACCTTAGAGATGATGAAGATTGACTAATGAAGAAATGAAAGCCTTTTGGAATTTTTAAATTTGTCTAATCTAACTTTTGTTTATATGGTCTCTTTTTGACACAAGTTACAAGTATAGATTAGAGTTTTGAAAATGTTAGAACTTGTCAAGTTGTGAACCTTATTCATGATCATATATTCATAGAATCATATTATAATGAATGTGGATTGCCATACATATATGATGTGATGTGAATTTACATAAATTATATCATAAATGCATAGTGTACGGGGAGCAAATATTCCGGCAAGCCCGTACTCCTTTCTTCCGAGCTCCGTCGATGTCCGATCACCTGCGAGCAAGTAACAGTGAGCATCATCATGTAAAATAACATTTTCATTAATTTAAGTCTAAATATTTCACGTTTATAATATCTAAGTGTATAAATATGCTTTATTTTTTTATATTTTTTATGTAATTTAGAAAAAGTGACTGAATCTTTACAATTCATGATTCGATTCGATTTGCGATTCGGTACATGGCCATTTCAATTCACGATTTGAATCCCAATTTGACAACTATGCTAGCAACCATCACATCCCATGACTTAGCTAGCTCCAAAGAGTCCACCAACTTCTTTTCTATAGTTGGACACAGTTTGCTAGTTCATCTTCCAGATTCAGCTCTTTTATTCGACAATTGAGTCATTATTTGAACCTTGATCATGTCAACCATACAAGTTATAGGCAATTCACGGGCCTCACCAATCCAATTATTATAAGACTCAGTAGCATTAGACAACATCTCACTATAGCGTTTCCCTCTAAAAAATGCGTTCGTCCACTTATCATTTCGCAAACCATTTAACATGCTACAAACTGTACTATTCTCGGCAAGGCGCCTCAATTTCTTCATATGACATTGAAAAGAAACCACAGTTGGTTCATAAGCATATTTCAACATATTTTCAATGAAGTCACTTTAAAGTTAAAATGAAGTCCCACCAATTTGTCACTCAAATTTCTTTTCAAATGTTTCAAACAAGATGCATGATGTGCATTAGAAAAAACCACCGTAAGAGCATCTAGCAATTTATGTTAACAGTCGGACATAGGTCAACTCTAACTCAAACAATCTCTTGATTTTTAGCATCAACAATCGCAAAAGCTAAAGGAAATAGGTTTGAAAACAAAATAACATGAAATTGCAAAAATTAGCAATCTTAAAAGACTAAAACAGAAACCAAAATTCAACAATAACAAAAAATAAAAAGAAAAAGAAAAGAAAAGAAAAGAAAACTATACTAATTGTAAATAAATATATACTTTGATTACCATCATTTGATTTTGCTGCATGCAAACACCCCTTGCGACACCCCTTCAAAAATGTACCATCAACAAATAACAAAGGATAACAAAATTGAAATCCATACAAACATCTATGAAACGCCACAAACAACTTTCGGAAACTCCCACTACTTTCATTCACATCTACTTCAAGCACATTTCTGGGATTGGTTATTGTACCTATCTCAAAGTACTATCAAAGTTGGTTAAACGAAGATAAAAAAAAAAGCCAAACAATCCACTTCTTGCTTTATTAACTCCTAACCATGCAACTCGATAAGAAACATCTATCACATATTGCTTCTTCAACTTCTTTTTAACTTCAATGGAACAAGTCAACAGATTATCACTAGTGTCATTATGCATAATATCATAAACAAGTCTAGAGCAAATCATTTTTGAAAAATCTAGAAATCCCCTAGATATTGATTTGTGATTATGTAATAATTTTAAGCAGTATATAACAATCACAATCAAACAATCAAAGACAAATCAATACAACAATTTTAACATGGAAAAACCACAATTGGACACCTCAAACTGTGATTAAAAAACCACGAGCAACAACCACAAAACAATCCACTAAGAAGATTTAAAGGAATTACACAGGTACACTCTCAATTACCTAGCGAATCCACGCCTAATTGAACCAACCTCTATGTGCCTCTTCCAACCCCGTCTTTACCTCGGAATTGTCTTTACGATGAGCCACTCTAGAATCCACCGAAGTTTCAAGCTCGAATTCTTCAGAATCCACCGAAGAACAACTCTCTCTCTCTCTTGTGTATAACAAACAAAACCTTTGATGTACTCTCTTTAAACCATGAGTTGAATACTCAATAAAATATCAAAGAAAACTAACAAAATATCCCCAGATATAAACCTTAAGAACCAAAAAGAAGATCTGGAGGAATTCAAGAGTGGTCTAGTTTTGGGAGAAAACCAACTACTTATAGAAAACCAAAAGTAATCCTAGATGTGGAAGAAAACCCAATCCTTATTGAAATCTGGAAAACTATGTTCGCACGGTCCGCTCGAGCTCCCAACATCCCGCTTGAGCGTCTTCAGCAACATATGCGTGTGACAAAACAGAGGTCCGCTCGAACGCCAGAGAACCCGCTCGAGCGCGAAATCACACATCTCAGTACTTTTACAGACCTGACAAACTTCTGAAACCCAGCATTCTCCACTCGAGCGGGGTAATGTCCGCTCGAGCGAACAGGCAACTTGGAATACATTTTTGCATTTTGCTTCGGGGGCGCTGCCCTTCGACCTCGCCATGGTGCTGCCCCGGACCTGCCAAGGGGCGCTGCCCCCTAGACCCCCGCGAGCTGACCGGGCAGTTCGATCCCCATCATAATCAGCGAAGTGGCAATCTTGAAAGCATTAGTATCACAAACTTCTCTGAAAGGCACAATTCGGGTTGGATTCGCATCTAAACACTCATAGCCTCACTGAAATAAAAGTGCAAAAATAAATACAACTAAAAGGAGTTTTGTCAAACGGGGTTGTCAAGAATAAAACCTAACAATTTTGTTACAAGATCTACGAGCAATAATACCACAAGTATATACATTATCCAACTTCAAATGGAAAAAATACAAGTATTCAGCTCTTCTTTCATGCACAAACCACTTATAACTTGTAAATGACTTCATCTTACATTCAATAGTTACTCTTGTTGCATCATTCTTTAAATAATTCACTGCAAAACAACGTTCAATTGTGTACTTAGCCAAAGCAATGCGAAACACTGACACTCTACCATCAAATTCTTGACTAACACTATGTATAATTTTCTTTCAATTAGTAGACAACAATATTCTCTTTGGTTCTGGATAAAAATTAGGCAACAAACCATCATAATCATTAACCAAAGAACCCTTACCAACTACATAATCAATCCTAGAGTAATTATCATCAACCTCCATAATTTTCTTATCATCCATAACAACATCAACAACACGAGAACCACCAAAAGCTGATATTGACAACATATTTCCCAAATTATCATCACTTTCAACAATACAATTAGGATATGCAAAAAAAGAGAAAAAACAAACAAAAGTTACCAACACTTAACTCTTCCACATCGCACATATTTTCTCAACAATTTCATCATAACTACAACCCTCATTAATCTTAATAATAGCATCAGACTTACTGTATTTGCACATTAACATGAAACACCCCTCCATATTGCAACTCACAAACCAACAAATAATCGACTATAGATTCCAAACTGGAAAAATATATAGTTACAACATATCAGATTCAAGACTTCAGAATTCACAAATTCAAAATTTCAAACTACAAATTCACAACACATTACACTATACAATAATAATAATAATAATAAATCCAAAACATTAGACTATATCACTTACAAAATCACAAAAAATAGTAAGTCATAAAAGTATCAAACAAACAACATTTATCACAAAGCACAACTACATAATCACAGAGCACAACTACATAATCACAGACAAAAATCAAAGCTACAATTTGCACAAACAGATCGCGTAAAGAAAGAGAGACACATAGAGAGAAACATAACACTACAAATTTAATGGAAACCACTCCAAATCAAGAGTAGAATAGAGACCTATAACAAAATTTTTTCAACTCTACAACCAATAGACAAATCAGACGAACACGAACTAGAGAAAATAAAAAATTTGTTTATCTATAGATATACATATGTATATGTATCGAGAGAGAGACGTAGAGACAGACATAGAGAGAGAGAGAGAGAGACAACGTACATAGAGTTCGCCTTCCCAAAATGAACAAAAATGATCACTAAGAGAGAGATCAAGATAGCGGAGAGAGAAAATCACATAATATGAAATTTGATTTTCCACCTATATATATATATATATCTCAAATCAAGAAGGGAAATACAATTATTTTATAAAATAAGAATAAAAAAAGGGACCTTTAGGTATAACTGAACAAAATTGTGGACCTATTGATTTATGAAAAATACAACGGGATTAGAGCGGAAATAGATCCCCTGCCAGTGCCGCGCCCTGAAAATATAGACATCGAATTACACATTATAATTGTAACGCCTCGAAATAAATATGATAAACCATCCATTACGGTATGTGAATAACAATATAAATCAGAGTATAAGATCCTTCTATTACATAAGATTTAGTGTTTGTTTGGCATATGCTAAAATAGCACATGCTATGTTGTCACATTATCCTATTTTGGCCACAATCATCTTATTTAAGTTATATCACCTTTCTACCACATCACTTCAAACCTAATCTATATTTCATATTTATTTTTTTTGTAAAAAGTTAAAAAGTATACTAATCTAACACTTTCCAAACAACCCCTAAAGGTGACATATGCGAATATACATTTATAAGGCATAACCTTGAATCTGTAGCATGTGTCAACAACAAATATATGAAATTGAAGTTAAACAAAAAATTGAAGTGCCCTAAAGGCTATAACTTTCCAAGACTATACTTAGTTACATCAAAATGGATTTAAATCCAATACATATAAAGCCCTAGGCTTGTACAAAATAATAACATGTAAACAAAATGAAGCTTTTGCTCCAATCCTCCTATGCTACTGCCTTGGCAGAGGCATCTCACCAACACCTGAAAATGGTTTTCCCATATAGGGTGAGCCAAAACCCAGTAGAAATAGCCCAACATAATATATAAATCTTAACA